CTGGCCCAGCGTCCTTCCTTGTTCCCCACAGAGGACTCCTCTGTCCTCTGCATCTCCTCACAGGGACAGAATGAAGTCACCGATTGGTGAGGGACCCCACTCCCCCCACAGCCCCACCTCAGGGCAGTGCAGAACCTGCGGGGGCCACACCCGGTGCAGGACTCAGGTGGCTGCTAGCAGCAGGTGAAGCCGGGACGGCCACCGCTGGGCGTGTGAGCTGGGACAGGACCTGAGGCTGCCCTCCGCCCACCCCACGCCCTCTCCCAAAGAGGACCCTCAGCTGCCAGAAACTCCAAGGTCCCACGCACTGTCCACCCAGAGAGGACAGCATGCAGGGAGCCAGCAGCGGGGTCCTGGCCGCGCCTGGCACTCACACCTGGCACCCACAGCAGCGCAGTAGCTCGGGAGTCTTATCCCCCCCAGGAAGGTCCCAGCTGGACCCACGCAGCCCCTCCCTCGGCAGCAGGATGAAAGGGGCTCCTCAAGGCCTGGGCTGGGAGGCCCCTGCTCCCTCCCTGCTGCCCGGGGCTCTGCCAGGCTCTGCCCAGTGTCAGGCAGCTGGGCCGCATGGAGTCCAAGGGGTTGGCCCGGTCCTGGGAGGAAGCTGGGCTGGTGGCTCTGGCCGCGTGGGTCAGTTGTGTGTGGTCCGTTCCCTGTGGGTCACTCTTCAGATGACGCGGGGTCTTCTGTGCCCTTGACCTTCGGCAGCCGGGGGCCGGGTGGATCTGTATCTGGCCTGAGGGTTAACCTGAGGAGGCAGGAAGGGCCTGTGCTGCCCGAGCCTCTCTGCAGGCCACCCCCAGTGCTGTCAGAGAAGACCCCTGTGGAGACCCCTGCCCTGCAGCACAGCTGCGTTCCCGGTGGGGCAGGGGAGGGGCGCGGGGTCCCTCCCCCACGTGCCACCTGAGTCCGCCCTCACACCTGGAAGAGCATCAAATGGGGCTGTGGGGAGCCGCGGGTCCTGGTGACTCCCCTGGTCCCCGGCACCTGTGGACCCGCGTCCCTCCCTTGTGCTCAGCCGCGAGGCTTCAAGACAAATACCCTCATCCCTTCAGCCCGGGGACCTACTGTGTGCCTGGCACCCCACCCAGGGTGGAGGTGTCGGGCCCTGCACTGAGGGTTCACCGTCCTGGAGACGGGGACGGCTGTGTCTGTCCAGCTGTGCAGGGGGCCCCAAGGACACACACGTCACGTGTGGCTCCTTGCCTTCTCTCTAAAGGTGGGGGTTTTCCTGCAAAGTCAGAAAGAGACTGGCCCGCTCCCCTGCAGCAGCTCATCCATGGGCTCCCTGGTGGCAGGCCAAGCTGGGGTCCCAGGGACGCTGCTGGCCCAGTGGGCCTTTCCACCCGGCCTGTCCTTGCGGGTTTGGGGTGGCACTCATGATCCTCACACAGCCCTGTCCCCTCCTAATGCGGATTCTGTCCTGCTCTTGGAGAAGCTGAGCCAGGCCGTGGGGCCTCCTCCCGGCTCCCTCCCTACCTCGGTGCCCAGCCTGGCGGGTCACCCCATGTCCTCTGGCTAACTCTGTCCCTCCTTGTCCCCCAGTTCTGAGCATCGGCGAAGGTGGCTTCTGGGAAGGCAGCGCCCGCGGCCACATCGGGTGGTTCCCGGCCGAGTGCGTGGAGGAGGTGCAGTGCAAGCCCAGGGAGGGCCAGGCAGGTAAGCCCTCGGCCGGCCGCGGTCTCCGGTCACCATCACCGCTCCCTGCCACGCGCAGCGGGTCGGCTGTGGTGGGGTCGACGGGGGACTCCTCTGGGTCCTGGACACACTTGGCTGGTTCTGTTTGGTGGGCTCCGCCCAAGCCAGGAACTCCTGCAAGGTGGCGCGAGTGCCCAGCGCCGGGCGGCTCAGGCGCGTGTCCTGGGACAGGAAGTTTGTGGGCGCGTGCCTCCCCCCCCACCCAGCGTGGATGTTGGAGCTGCTCACACGCGGGCGGCCATGGCTCAGGAACCCGTAGATCTGTTCTGAAGGCGCGAGGGCCGGGCATGGCCGTGGGCGGGGTCAGGAGACCCCCGTGGGAGGGCAGGGGAAGGGGGGCCACAGGCCCTCAGAGGTCACCGGCCTGCTGGGTTGGGCCCTGTGGCCACGAGCTCTCAGATGTGCCTACTGCCCCGCTCCTGAGGCCCAGAGGGGAGTCCGCCCTCCCCAGGCCCCAGGGCCTGCGTGGTCACTGCAGGGTGCTGGGTTCCCAGTCTCTGCTCAGCAAAGAATGGACACAGAGTGGCCAGCAAGCAGCAAATCCATTGCAAAAGTGACAGAGGCAGACTTCAGAGGAAGGGCCGGAGCTGGGGGTCTGGTGGGCTGGCCTGTCC